CATTAAAATTAATTTTAAAAAGGCAATTAAAACATTCATGCTTTCATTAGAACATCAACTCTTTAGTATTTTTATTATTATTATTCTCTTTGAAAAGTAAAACAAAAATTCTTTCATTGTTTTACAGTCCCTACCCCCAGGTCCACTCCACTATGCAGCCTTCATTCTGGACTCCTGTTATGACAAAAATACCTAATCACATATCTCTTTTAAACAGTTTTCTCCCTCGTCTGTTTCAATGAAGTATACATCACTTATCCCATTTTTCTCAGTCTACCCTCAACCCCAATGTCCATCCTGTTTTACAACAGTGGCACCATGCAGTATTTGTCCTTTTGTGACTGAGGTATTTCACTCAACATAATGTTCTCCAGGGTCACTCATTTTGAATAATATTGTATGAGTTCCTTGTTTTTCAATGTTGCATAGTATTCCATTATGGGAATATACCACAGCTTCTCTACCCTCATTTGTTGATGGCCACTTAGGTTGTTTCCAACTCCTTACTAGTGTGAACAAAGCCACAATAAAGATGGGTGTGCGTATATATATCTGCTTGGGTGGCAGTTATGGTCTCTTTGGAGTATATTCCCAGTAGTGAAAATGCTGGGTCAAATGGTGTCTCTATTTGCAACTTTTGGAGAAAGTGTCACACCGCCTTCCACAGTGGATGCACCATTTCACACTTCCACCAACAGTGAATAAGGGTTCCAGTTTCTCCACAACCTCACCAGGATTTGTTACTTGCTGTTCTGTTAAATTTTGCTATTCTTACTGGGGTGAGATGGTATCTCATAGTTGTTCTGATTTGCATCTCAGTGCTAGGGATTTTGAACATTTCTTCATGTGCTTGTTGGCCATCTGAATGTCCTGTGCCCATTTTTCAATTGGACTATTTACATTTATCTTGTTGTGGTGAATGTCAACTCTCTTTACAGAGTACCACACAGAATATATGCTACTATGCTTCAGTCACTTAATTGTTTTGAAACTACATAAAGCTCATTTTCATGATCTCAACTAAAATTTGCTGAGGGTCACATCCTGATATCATATATGAAACAAGTAAAAATCCCACATACTGCATAAAAATAGTATGTGATTTGATTACTGATATTTACTATCATCATTACTTATACAAATGACAAAAATTTCTTGGTAAATTTTTATGTATTTACTATATGTATTTTATATATTCATTGACTTTTAAGACAAGATTTCCTGTTCCTTTTATTTACTATTACAGCTACTTTTATTAGAAATCTAATAACAAAGAAACATTCAAATCAAGGACTGAGTTACTTTTAAACTATTATTCCTCTGTCTCTGTAGGTTTTCAAACTGAAGAATATGTTTTCACTAGCATGTAGCTGCATCACTATTAATAGCTGCGCCATCACAAAATGCTAAGCATCATATCTTAATACATTATAGCTATATGGCACTGTACAAATAAAACTTTAATGAACCTACAATTTAGAGTGGTAAATGTATTTGTATGTTATGTTATATGGCATCTTTTCCACCAATTTATATGGCATTTCAATCTATAAACAGATAAGCCTTAATCTAGTAAAGTAGGCAGAAGTCATGTTTCATTCTGAAAATTAGGTCAGGTTCTTAAAGGAGTAGTTAAAACTTTCAAACATATTTTTTAAATAAACACACTGGCTCAGATCATAAAGATTTCCAAAGATCAAATACCATTTTAGAAGGATGGATGGATGGATGGACAGATAGAAAGAAAGAGTTATGATTTTAAATTAAACAGTAGACAATTACATCCTTCATGGAACAGTGTAACTTATCACTGGCAGAGCCTTTGGGAGACCAAGAAGAAACAGTATCTGAACAAAACAATCTAAGTAACAACTGTAACTATATGATCCATCTAAAGCTCATTTACTCTGTGACCTCGAAGTTTATCTTCCACAACTGATAACTCAAGTACAATTACATAAAAATATGTCACTGCCAGCCAAGACAGTATGCAAATTGTCATCATCATTCAGGATTCAAGCTTAAGTCTGAATCTAGGCCCTTTTACTAGCTTATGTGTACCTAAATTTCTGTTCTCAAGTCACTTAACTTGAAAATGGGAGTGATTAACAGCACCCACCTCTAAAGATTATTTTGAAGTATGAGATTATACACATAAAGCCTATAAAATAATTTCTGCTTATTTAATAAAGTATCAACTTTTTTAAACGTTTGGTTCTGATAACTATTATAAATACTTCCAAAGGCATACCATAATTAAGCTTTTTGCTATATTATACAAAACATCTTTGAAATTAACTAAAAATTCTTTCAATAAGCTCATCTCTCTGACTTCATACTAAATTTAAATTTCACAATTCTAAATGACTGTACCAAATTAAGGCAAAGAAAACAACAGATATCTAGAACTTAGCAAAGAGGATGACACAAGAAAATCCAGTGCTGTCTAAAGATCTGTTTAAAGAAACAGCACCTACCTACTGTGTTTGGAAATCTATAATGGATTTTTCAAGTGTATTATCATAAATGAAACAGACAACTATGTAATGGCTTTGCCTCATTTCTCTTACACACCTGAAGAGGAGTCCACATTTTTTGTTCTAGGATATAATCTACATTTAATTTATAATGATCTAAACTTGAAAAATGTTTCAGATGCCATACACTTCTTACATTCTTCTCCCTAAGAACTTTAAGTCAAAGGAAGACATCCTTAATTAAAGTCAATCCATATTTCCCATTCTTTAAACAGATAAAATAGCACTTTAATGTTTGTAAATGAATTCTTATGAAATTTTAGCACTTTAATTTACAAAAATTTTAACATCTCATAACTGTTTAAAAGGTTCTCATTCTCAATATTTTTTTGACATAAAATGCTAAGATATCTGAATTTAAAAAATCATAAAACTTTTCCTGGCTTACCCAACACAAGAATCAACTACTTTAACATAAAAAATAAAAGCAGGAAGTAATCTTAAATACATCTTCAAAGGACTACCAAGCAACCAAAAGTAGTTTTTACACAGATTCAACTTAAACATCACAGAATCATTGTTGTGGTGTGCCAAAAAGTATGACTCCTAGTGAGCTAAACAGCAAAATAGCTCATAAACAGTAGACCTGACCCCCTGCCCTATCCTGTGTAATCCTAATCATCTCTGATACACTGCCCATTGCTGAAGTCACATATCGGTCTATCTCATTGGTGGGTCTTCCTCTCCTTCCCTGACCCTACATCTTTCCAAGCATGATTTCCTAGGAATATTCTGACCTAGCAACATGTGCAAAGTATGAAAGACAAAAAAAGCTTCACCATTCTTGCTAGGAGTATTCTGGCTGCACCTTTCAAAAATCTAGGAATTGAAAAACTGGAAGCTAATCTCAATTTTTCCAGGCGACAGCCTTCCTACTCTGCTACTCAGTTTTCAATCAAACTCTCCTTCCAAACCTCAGCAACCCATCAGCTGGAATTCTGTAGCTGACAGCCATTTTTCATCAAAAACTAATTGTCCTTATTTATTTCAGTTTTATTATCGGGTCACCTTGAAATCCTCACCTCTGAGAACCTTTGAGAGATGTTATCAAACTGTCTCTTTAAAAATTACCAGGAAGGTCCATAGACCTTGTTTTTATATATATATCTATCCACGTTTTATGGTGTTTACAAAGTAACCTTTCTCAGGAATCAAATGGCTAACTAACATCGACTGCTCCAAACTTCACTGGACCTGCATCAGATCCTTTAAACACCTTGAGATCCTGGCCTGGGCTGCAGCCTGTACAGCAGGCGCATGATCACAAGGTTTTTCAAAGGCCCCCAGATCCCTTGCTGATGCAAAACTTCTCATAAGCGGGTCATGTCCTGGGCTGTCAAAGGGTCTGCTTAAAACGCTTTTAGTTATTTACTAATTCGTTCATCTCAGGGGATTTCAAGCCCTCTCAGGGTGCCTTTCAAAAGCCAGCTGGAGTCTTCCCGTGCGGCTTTACAGAACCGGACAACAACTTGAGTGCTGAGGTGCATCTCCTGACCCAAACTGCTGTCAAGAAATGCGGTAGCGATGCAGTGGCTTCTCTGTGACACTCAGAACCTGTTTTGCCCAGACAGGGTCAAACGGCCCCCACTCCCTCTCCACCTCCGAGATTTCCACGGTCACAACGCTCAACAGCTAGTTTTTTTAAGCACAGGACAAGTCACCCTCTTTTGGCCTTATTTTTCCTCCTCAATAATGTTTGCCGTCACAAGGACATTTTTTTTTTCCACATCAGCACCTGAAACTGGAGAAAGAGAAATCGAGCTCTGGGCACACTGTTCAATGGGCTCAGGGCGCCCATCAGCGCTACGTTCTCCTAAACCTTCCGAGGCAGGATCTGGGGTTTGCCTGCGCTGACATCAACCCCAGGGCTGTAACTTCGGCTGGGGTCCAAGCCGGGTCAGCTGCCTCCCAGCAGCAGCCACATTTCTGCAGGTGAAATCGCAATGTCTAGCTCAGCGAGAAGGCGTCTGATCCACTAAGGCACCATTTTTTACGTGCGAGAAAAGGGGGTGGGGGGGCAATGGACAATGAGAGGGATGTTATTATAGGGAGGGGAGTGGGGGAAGGGCCCGAAGAATCGTAGGAGCCAAACCCCAGGGTTCAGCAATATTCGCCCCCAAAGCCTTCCAACCCTGTTCCCCCACCACCCCGGGAGTCAGCCCGGCGCCTCCGCAGGCCCGGTGGCCCCGAGGGGAGCACAGTCCCCTGGGAGCGCCGAGTCCGGGGCTGCCGAAAGGCGAAGCGCAAACAGGCCGAAGCCGCCGAGCTTATGAAGAAAGAGACCGCGAGCCGCAGAAGATGCGGCCTCATCTCAGGCTGGGAGGCGCCCCCGCTCGGGGAATCAGAGGTGAGAAGAGGGCTAGCCGGTTGGCAAGCCGCAGCAGAGACGGGAAAGAAAGCGAGCCGGAAGGTTGCAGGCGCGACCGGCGCCTTCCCCGGGGCCGGTGCGGCGCCCGTGTTTACCTGAAAGTCTCGGTCCTCGTTGAAGCGGGAGAAGCGGTCCGCCATTTTGCCGCCTTCACCCGTCTCTGGACGATTCTCTCCGGTTCGCTCCTTCCCTCCCGCGACACCCGCCCCCTCTGCTGTCCCTCCTCCGTTCCCCGCCTCCTCCGACGCCCACCGGACGCGCGCAGGCGAGGGAGGGAGGGGGCAGGAACGCGCGTCTTGACGGGAGACCCGCCAGCGCACGCGCCTTCGAGTCCCGGAGGCGGAACCTTCTTCCTCCGCCCCTTCGTGAGCGCGCGGCCGAGAGCGACCCCAGTGGCGGCGCCGGAGGGTGGCGAGCGCTTCCGGGTGAAAAGGTCAGAGCGGCAAGGTGAGGATTTTGCTGTCGTGACGACTGGGACCCTGTTACATGCATTACAAAATCCTCCTCCTTAACCCTCCTGCTTCGTTCTCTGTGTATTCAGAGGTTTACCTTCTACCTAATTCGTTAAAGAACAGCGTATTATAGTGGTTGACTGGCCATTATTTTGTTATGCACCGTGGAGTCAGACTGACCCATAGCGGACCCTTCAGCGGGTTTTCAGAGGTAGTTAATCACATGGGAGGAGATTGCCCTTCTTTCTTCCACAGACCAATTGGTAGCTTCGAACATTGGCAGTGCAATTCCTTACCTTTAAGCCACCAGACCTCCCTTTCGGCCATTCTACTTTGTTTCAAATCCTGGTTTGCCCAGATTAACTGAGCACGCCTGAAAACCTGAATTCTCTTCCTAGAGTTTACATTCTGTGGAGGAACCCAGATAATGAATCAATTATATGATGGTAGCTATTAATAGGGTTTTTTTAAATTTAGATTGTTTATTTTTCATTTCAATGAACATCTACAGAGATTTTGGGATTCCATTCATTCATTGTTGCACCCTTCTCCCCGCACAAACCCCTCTCCCCTCC